ACCCGTATAAACCACACTGAGATCATCGAAGCCAGCCTGAGCATTCTTGAAGCAGAACGCGATTGGGGATGCGCTTTCTGCCACAAGTTCCTTCCCGCGTTCGGCAACTACCGCGAGAAGCAGAAGAATGTTTGCCATCGCTACAACACGAGTCACCCCCGCAGAGACACCTCGAACTCTGCCGCACAGAAAGCGCGGCAAAGAAAAGCTAAGGAGAATCCTGCCCCAAACATGTCAGCGGCTGCGTAGGGAGCGCAGCAAAGCGCATGGCTAACCAGATGAGAGACCTCAACCTGGGCGGCCGCAAGCTGGTCATTGGAAGAAGTGGCCGCGTCTTCTCAAATGCAAAAATGTCCCCCGCAAAGGTTTGCTGTTCACTTGCGCAAGATGTTGGAGCGTTGCCAACTACAACAAGAGCATGTGCAAATCCTGCCAGGGAACCAGTGCGCAACCGAGCGCTCAGGCCAAGCTGAGGTGGGCTGCAATCCGCTCCGCGGCCTCCGACGCGAACTCCACGCAACCAAAGAGACTGCGGACATGTGCTTCGACCATTTGGTGGAAGAAGGTGTTGAGCCTCGCCCTGGACCAGCTGTTCCCGCAGACGACGACGACTGCGATGATGATGGCGTAGAAGATGACGACCCGGACCCTGGTGGAGGCTTTCCTCTCCCTCGTTTACGCGTACTATTCGCCTCGCTTCGCGCTCTTCGATGCGCTCCTCGGTAAGAGTCTCTTGTGTCAATGTCCGAGTTGCCCGGGCCTCTGGAGGCTCATCAAAATTCTGGAATACAACTTGGCTGTTCCCGACATCATCTGCGTCCAGGAACCCTGTGTGCACGCCAACGAGTTCAACACGAGGGATGTAGGGCGAGGCTATAATTCCTGCAGTCGAGCTTGACATACCTCCTGCTGTCGCAGCAGCGCGTGCTGAGTTAGGGCTCCCTGCAGTTTCCAGTGCTCCTTCTGACGAGCTGTGGCGAAGAAGCGGTGGTTCAGATCGCGGTGCCTGCGCTAGTAGCTAGTGGAATGTGCGCGATAGCTGCGAAGGAAGATCTGAAGCAACCTCGAAACCAGGACTGCCTGCCCAAGATGGCTCTGTGGAACACCGCATTGGTACGACAGATATAGAACTTCCATATGCAGATGGTTTGCATATGGTCGTGGCACTGTTGATTGGTAGAAAGCTACTTGTGTGCCAGTGCTTTTAAATGTGTCACTTCTGTGTGTCTTGTACTGCTGTTGGTCTTTTTGTATTAACACTATACTATACTGCCACCGAGTGTTCATGCAGTAGGAGTGCTGTACAATAGCATACCAGGCTTCGACTACCAAGCCTACATTGGAGCGTGGCCGGGATCAATGGCGAAGCCGTTAACCACTACATGGCTAGTTTGGTTTCTGCCCTGTTGCGATACGACGCTGCTGTCCCTCTGCGTTCGCAGCTGGTTTTCAACCCCATGTTCACAGCCTTCAGTCGTTGCAGCGCTTCGACTTTGCAGATTCGCCCCTACGACTCACATATTGCTGATGCGTTGCAAAGATCACATTGCTTTGCGCAAATCACCGTTCTGACAAAGGTGGTCCCGGTGTGCCATTTTAATGCGAGCGCCGTCGTATGATGTCGAGAGAGACTGCGCTGTGTGCATTGCGCGAGTTCCGATTCGAAGAGTTACCCTCTACTTGACGCTGCGAAAAAGATTGTATCCATCCATCTGAGTGGTTGTGCCAGAAGTGTGTTCGACGAGTATGCTACAGCGTGCAGAAGTTATCGCTTCAGGATGAGCGGCGGTTGCGGCGAGAGATCCCCGCAGCCGAGCGTTTCCTGGAGGCGCCTATTTCAGTACCTAGGTTGCTAGGTTGGTATGGTCTCCTCTTGCTAGGCCACGCCATACTAATTATTGCTCTGCTTGGGAAAGGCTGGTATCACCCCTTACAGCACAGTGTCGCTGAGGGAGATAGACAAGTGCTTTATATCGTACACTCTAGCAAGTGTGCCGTGCCTCACGAGCTTCCTGCTTGGTGCACTTTCGTTGTATAGTGTTCTACTCTCTGGCGGCACATTCGTGTAGCTTCCACAGAATGGCGAGTCCATGCGATGCAGGAGCGGGAGTGGCAGGAATCTCAACGAAGATTCCTGCTCCACGCCCTGCGCGGGTCTCAGCAGTACCGCCCGCCGCGCGCTGGAATCTTTCTTTAGAAGCGCGTGCAAAGGAACTTCACAGAGTTGTCCACGGTGCGTTCTGTTCTCGGGATGAATATGCTTACTTTGTGCTCACGATTGCCGCGCGTTTAGCCCCACCTTTGTTTCTCCTTCTGCCTCTTCTTGCTGGTTGCCTCTCTTTCTGCTCCTGAACGTCCGCGCCCCCTGCCTTGCATGCATGAAGCTTCTTGGCGCCCCGTGAAAATCCATTTTGGCAAGGGTCATTCGTTGGCGAACGAGGAGAAATCAGTAGCAAACAGTGCGCATTCGCACTCAAAACCGAAGAGAGGGATCGAAGCCCTACTCCCCAAGCACCCCTCGGTCAGCTAGGGGGGGCGGCAAACAGCGCCCGGGGCACTACTCGAATGCAGCCGGTTTCCCAGGAACTTGCGCCGACGCACGCTCGCGCAGATGATGGAGGCATCATGCGCAACTGCCAGGCCTCTGTGCAAGGTTTGTGACTCTCCAAAACATGGTTCAGCGTTTTGCTCATGTGCCCTCTCGTCTGCCAATCCCGAGCCCGCTGCGCTGACAAACTCCTTCCCTGGGCCCTGAACTCCCTGAGCCTTAAACTCTGTCAGGAGAGACGGGTGCGGCGAGGACAACCCAAAAAACAGCGCCTCAGCCAGACGCTGGCTTTTGATGCTCAGTCCTGCAACGCACACTTTCTTGCAAGCCATGCTATACAACAGATTCGACAGATTGCCAGTACCAGTTGTGCTCAGATTCGGCGTCGGCTACAGTCTTGTGAGCCAAACGGGACCTTTTGAATTTTAGTCTGCTCTGTAAAGCCCTCAAATTCGAGCAGCGTGGCGAGCTCTGAAGTTGCCTCCGAAGCCCTCCAAGCTTCAAATTCGCCCGGGCATACCGAAGCCATGTTCTGGCCCATTGTTGCGGGCCGCTGTTTTGTGACATCTCAGGCGCGGGCGATCACCCACGCCAAGGGTTCGACAGGCACTGGAAGGGTCTCAGCAAGCACTATTTGGTGCACCCCTCCCCCACAAAAAAAACAACATAAGTAAAAAGAAAAATAGCAAGCACAACAATTCCCATGCTTTGAATATGAGTTCGTTTGTCTCACTTTGATCAAACCAAAACCCGACCTGAATTTTAAGAATATTCAGAAATATCGCAAATATTCGTGCGCATGTGAATAGGCCTGAAGGCCGTAGGGCCATAACCGTGTGAGCAGATGAATGCATGCAAATTGAAACTAAGCAGTTTTGTCATTCTAGATATACCCTAAAACCTGAGCTTGTAAATGTAGCATTCAAGGAAACTCAATTGACGTTGCGGAAACTTTTGTTCAACTATGTGATTTTGGGCTCTTAGAGAGTGCTCAATCAGTTTAAACACACGTCAAGCAACTGCGACTGAGACGTTGACTTTGGAGGACTGCCGCAAATCCGCCGTTCCGTGAGCCACGGGGCCCGCGTATGGCCGCTTGTGAAGTGTGCAATTATCTGTCCGAGCTGGTGGATCCTGGCGGACACTTCCCGTAACAGGTTGAAGAGCCGCAGAGGTCTTGTCTGATAATATCAGACACAGCTCCCTGTCCAACAGAGTTCTCCTCAACCAAGACTGCTTTTGCCCTAGACAATGTCTCAGCTGGCGATAGGGTTTCAGCAGGGTACCTCGGTGTCGCAGAACTTGGATGATTGCGTGGATGGACCTGAGAAGTGTAAATCCAACAGCCACGGTTCGATGTTGTCTAGGACCCGTTTCAGGAGCAAGTAGTTCACGAGGCCGTGAAGGCACAACTCGCGGCCTCCCCTGCCTGAGACAGCAGCAGCGCCCGAGACGCTGGGCTGTGCGCGCGGTGTTACGCAGTGTGGCCTTTCATTGCGTCTAGGACCAAGCGGCTGTTTTTCGAAGACGAAGAGATGCCAGAAGATCCAGAAGTACTTGTGCGCGACCGATGTCTAGTTGAAAGTGATGTAAGTGATGTGCGGTGTGAGAGATCTCCACGGGTGTTCGAAATCTGATCAGCACCTCATCGCTCATCCTTGAGAGAAACAAGAGTCCGTTGCGCCGCTTTACATCTTAATTAGGGACGGAGGGTTGGGCAAAGGGCGAGCAGCGAATGTCCGTTGTTTTTGGTGTGTGTGTGTGTGTGCGTCTTTGTATGATGAAGTCGCTACGAATCACAGAATCTATATGTCAATGTATATGTAATTGTATATGTAATTGTATCTGTAACTGTATATGTAACGGTATATGTAACTGTATATGTAGCTGTATGTGTATATGTATATGTGTATGTATGCGAATATGTATATGTATATGTATGTGTATATGTATATGCATATGTATATGTGTATGTATATGTATATGTATGTGTATGTGTATATGTATGTGTATGTGTATATGTATATGTATATGTATATGTATATGTATATGTATATGTATATGTTATATGTTTTTGTATATGTACATGTACATGTACATGTACATCTTCATGTATATGTATATGCAAATGTGAATGTATATGTATATGTATATGTATATGTATATGTATATGTATATGTATATGTATATGTACATGTACATGTGCATGTATATGTTTCTGTATATGCGCATACATGTTCAGAGAAGCCGCTACACGTGTTTAGGGTCGCCTGGCCAGTGGGGCAGCTTGAAATTCGGAGATTGCAGACTTAGCGTAAGCTTGGTGCTTGCTGGCTTCCTTTCCAAGTGTTGCTCTTTTCTCTCTTTCTCTCCCTGTCTCCCGGTCTCCCTCTCCTCTCTTGCCCTTGTTGCTTGGCTTAAGTTAGTGTTCACGGCCCGGCCCTTGGTGGAGGTTCTTGCGAAACGGCAGAAGTCGCGGCTATTAGAGAGGCAAGTTGCGCTGCGGGCAGCAAGTCAAAAGGTACTGTCAAGACCATGTCGCAAGGATTCAGATGTTATGCCGCAGTCTCGCTCGATGTTTTTCGATGTTTTAAAATGGGCTCGGTAACAACGCCTGTGGCTGGCAGGCTCCATGCGAGCACGTTGCGTTCCTGGAGGCAGATTTGGCAGGCACGGCTCCCACCATGTGAGTCGCATTCGTCTCTTCTCCTTGCCTCGAAGGACACCCCCCGACCGCCGGAGACGGCGCAGGGCTGAGAGGGTCATAGCAGGATCCTTCTTTACGTCTGCAAGTGACTCTAATGCAAGGCGCTGCTTGTCGTAGTTGCACGTATCCTACTTCAGTCCAGGGCAAGCTGGGCGCCAAATTCTGGGACAACAACTTCATCCACCTCTATAAGATTGCTTGGCCTGATCTGGTGGAGGCCGAGCAAATGGAGAGGACGATGTGTTTGCATATGTGCCATATGATTTTTTTAAAGCTCCAACCTCCTCCCCTCGCTGACTGAAGGCGCCAAAAGCTCCCAACCGACACTTTTCCACGTGGCGCACGTTGGCGCAGGCTTTTGAAAACTTCTATCTCGTCGGGCGTTGCCCGCACCTTGCCTGCAGCTCGACACTTTGACACTGGCTTGTTGGGAGATTGGCAATGGCTTTGGCAGACCCAGGTTGAGGGCTTAGGCGGGCTCAGGGTTTTCCAGAAGTGCCTTGCCAATAGGAGAAGTACACAGAGTGGATGGAAATATCTACGAAGAGAGTCTGAATGCGTGTCTTCCAGTTCCGAAACCCTGGTTGTCAACAGGATGGACCTGGTTCGACAGCTTCGGTTGCGGGCGGGGCTCTCGCTGTGGCTGCTCATTTTTACCAGGTTGCTAACAGCGAAGATCAGTAGCAACGGTGGGGGGGGTGGGTGATGTCTGCTGAGGTGGATCCTCAGTTCTCCCACCAGGCGGCGGCAGACCAGAGTGAAGATGGCTGTTCTCGAAAACACCAGGGCAGGGGGGTTCCTACAAAGGGGCCCGAAAACCCAAAACAATTCCAGACCCTTTAAACCCAAAAACCCTGAGAAGAAAGGGATCTCGGAGGTGACCAAATTCGCCTTCCAGACGCTCCTCAAGGGCCACACCAGGTGCGCTCGCCTTGTTGTCACTAGGAGAAGGTCCTATAAACCCTCAAAAGCCCTAAACGTTGGATATGCAGCTCCAGGGAGCGTGTTGAGATTCCCCCTCTCCCCCTCAACGAAAACAACAAAGCCCTTGACATGGCATTCGCAGCCCTGCAAAGCCTGGAAAAGCCCCAAATGCAAATGTTGGGAGGTACCAGCCACCAAGAAGAACTCTTGAAGGTACCCCTCGGCTCCCCCTCAACCCTGAGAAAAAACCGATGCGCACTGGACGGGAAACTCAAAAAGGTGGTGCGCTGGACGTGGAAGTGGATGTACTGGACCCCCTGCCCCTTAACCCAAAATCAGAACCTTCTAAAATCCCAAACGTTAATAAGAACCAACACGCGATCTCGGACATTTCGGAGGATAGCTGACATCTTGGACATGCTCATCGATGAGGCCAGATGGCAAGGATGATCCAATTCAGCACTCTTTACATGTATCAATGTCTGTTGGTACGATTATGACTACAACCAATTAGACAGCTGAGCGTTTTTGAGTTCACAATAGGCTTCCATGTAAGCATGTATGTAACGTATGATTTTGCACCAGGACTGCTACTAAGATGTCTACTACTGGGTTTAGGCTGGCCTCATTCTCCAAGGCTACGGTAACGGGGAACTCAGAAACCCTGAGAACCTGGGATCTGAGTCGAAGTGTCAGGTGTTGAGGGACATCTCCAGCTGCATCTACAGGCGTGGTGGCAACAGCTGGGGACCCTTCTCTGTGTCAACATGTTTCAACCCCAAAAGCTGGATTCCAGTGACCACGGGCCGAGTACAAACGTTCTGGAGCAGGTCGAACCCAGCAGATGACGAGGTCATCGACGTTGACGAGGCACCACTCAGCACCATGTAGTGGTTCTAGGGCCTAGGGTTCCTTTGCAAGCCCGAGAAGTCCTCCAACAAGAAGGTCCCGCCGCCGGCCCGTGCTCCTCCACGTCGCTCCAGTCGTGCTGCTCCCAGGAACGGAGGTGGAGGTTGCATTGTTTCAGGGCTAGGGTTTAGGGCAGTACAGGGTGCAGGTTTCTGGTTTAGGGGATTCAATTAGCTAGGACACTTTTCGGCGGCTTAGACACATGCTGGCCTGACCGAAGGATGTGTCATCGGTCATGGGCAGGGGCGGTAATTGACGTCTTGGACGTTCCACATGCATTCTGTGGCCGCTCACGTGAGCCACTGCAAAAGAACCCAGCGTTGCAGACCAGCCTTACCTCTCGACCTTGCGCTACCCAGCCTTGTATGCTGACCTTGAAACTTGTTCATGACACAAAGGCCCTCAAACCTAAGTGTGATCCAGTTCCGCTAGTGACAAAGACTAGAACAGGTCAAGGGTTTCGGTTTTAGGGGTGGCCCCTTGCCCCCAAAAACCATAGCGCTCATTACGGGATGCCCAAAACAGGTAATTTCCCCTCATTTTTCGAAACCACCCAGACGAGATTCTAGGCTCTTCGAGGTTTCAGGGTGTCGGCGTTCGTAAAGCTCTTGTCGTCAGATTGTTTGTTTACTGGCAAGACAGGCTTTGCTTTGTTGTGTCAGAAGGTGGGTTTCCAAAATTCTACTAACAGAGATGATCGTGTTTTGGGGTATAGGTTGCTTTGGGAAATACCCTGGCAGCGGTCTAGTTGACAGGTTCTCACGAGGGAACTCTGCCCTCGAAAATTGAGTGCCTGCTGTACGTCTGTAGGCCCTTGATGTTGAGCTTTCCACTGTGTGCCTGCAAGCTCCCGATTCCTTACCAGGGTGCTGCCTTGTCTGAAGGCCCCCTTGCTCCTGCTGGTGGCGCTCTCTGCAAATTCCAAACCTTCCCCGACACGGCACCCTAAGACACCGAAATCCTGTAGTGGGTTCTGGCTTCAGGGTGGAACCCTTTGAGCCCTACACCCCCTTTAATCTCCATACCCTCCCCCTCTTGGACCTCCCCAAGGCTCCGAGCACCAGGCCGTGGCTGAGCGGACCAGGACCGCGGGGTTGTGGAGAGTGTCCAGGTGTCCAGTAAATCTGCCCTCGTACGTGATATTTAGTCTATTTTTATTGTGTTTGTGTGTGTGTGTGTGTGTGTGTGTGTGGGAACTCTGTACCCGAGGAGACCGATGAGTGTACAGAAAATTGAGAGGTGCTCATTCGATTTCTCGAAAGACAACCCCTTTGAGGGAAATGCCATATGTGTGTTCCGGCCAGTTATTCTGACAAAGCGCTGGTCATGATGGGCATCTGCACAATGCCCCGCAGTGTTCACTTGATTCAGAGTGACACCCTTCAGAGGTACATCACCCTGACATTCGTTCATCCGTCTTTGCTGAATTTGATGTGTTCAACCACCATTCCTTGAGCAGAACCATTTCTTGAGCAGACCCAGCAATCTGTTCAGAAACCTTTGAAATGAGAGGGCAGTTGGTTCATGTTTTCACCAGATACACTGAGCAACACCCTGAAGATCCGCTGGGATCTTTGCTTGTTCAGTGACCAGCACCTGTTCAGTGACCAACACCTGTTCAGTGACCAATACCTGTTCAGCGACCATTCCTTGTTCAGTGACTACCGATTATTCAATATCGAAGGACTGCCTCGGTTCAATGCTGAGTTGTTCGATCTGTCATGAGTGAACACCGTCAAGATCCTGTGTGATCTGTTATTGCTCAGTGGCCAACAAATGTTCGTCACTTTTCTCCCTGAGCCATGCCGTAGTGATCTTCACATGTTCAGTGACCAACAACTGTTCAGGGACCCGATCGAGCCTACGCTCAAGCTATCTTCTTCGGGAGGTTTCGGGGAGGTTTCATAAAGGATTTCTGTTCTTGCTTTTCAGGAGTTCCAAGTAAAAGATCTTTGGGTTCTCTACTTTCCTCTCTTTGCTTCGTGTAGTAGTGGGGTGCGTGCGCCAGTGTTGAGGCTGCGCCGCGTCCCGTTATACTGTTCTTCTCTAGACGGGTCGCGTGCGCCAGCGCGGGGCCGTGCCACGCCCTGTCTCACGTTCGCCTTGTTTTCGCTGCCGCCTTCGACGTCCTTTGTTGTTCTTTCCTCCCGTCTCATTCCCTCGCTCAACTTGCTAGTACGGATATGAGTAGTGACGTTGCTCGTGAGCAGAGTTGGGGGACGCGGGAGAGTCTTCGGCTTGTTCTTTCATTGAATGGGAGTTGGAGCGAGGGAAGGTTACCAAAGATGATCTTTCAGACAACCGGCATGACCGGATGTGTGTGTGTCTGGGAACTCTGTATCCAAGAGTAGATCAAATTTTGAGCTGATCGATGGAATAGCCTATGTGACAGTGCAGGGGGCCCAAGGGCTACTGGATGGCTTGGGCCAACGAAGACCCATCCAGTAAGCTGTGAAAACGTACCTGCAGAGTTTTTTCGAAATGACAGCCTGATGTTTCACTCGCTGAGGAGACCGATGAGTGTACAGAAAAGTGAGAGGTGCTCATTCGATTTCTCGAAAGACAACCCCTTTGAGGGAAATGCCATATGTGTGTGTGTGTGTGGGTGTGGGGGTGGGGGGGGGTGGGGGTGGGGGTGTGGGTGTGGGTGGGTGGGTGGGCGGGTGGGTGGGTGGGTGGGTGGGTGTTTTTGGGTGGGCGTGGGGGCAGTGCGGGCTCCAAAGTTAGCGGTCGAGTCCCTGCAACTGCCACTGTGCAAGAAGCATGCACGCAGAGGGGCAGTGGAGGCAGGGAAGCAACCGCTTAGTGAAGAAGAAAGTCGACCGACCTGCGTGTCGTTGCTTGCACGCGAAGTTGTCGCTTACTGCCCCTTGCAGGAAGGCTTCTGGATCGCCTGGGTCATCGCAGCTGCAGGCACCGATTCGGCCCACATGTGGTTAGATCAACCCCCATTCAACAGGACCTTTTTGCATTCTTCTGGACTCGTGACACGCTAGCAGCTCAAGGATTCCTAAATCAACCTCGAATTCGGCCGGAAAAATCGCTCCAGATGCCCGCCAAGGTACAGCCATGGGTGCCGCACGGTGCCAAGTCAGGCTTGCGCTAAACAACTCACGCGAGCAATGCAGTCTAGAACAGTGCTTTCCGCCAAGATTAGCATGTTGCCGTGGTCGGTTGTGTTCTTCTCTCCTTTGGCCCTCAGCACGCACTATTTTAAAACCTAAACCCCTACGATGCAGCGGCCTACATGCAATCCCTTGTACAGTTATACATGAACTACCCAAAATACACATGTTAATGAAATAGGCCCCTACACCCTAAGCCCTAAACCCACAAGCCCTCAGGGGAATGCCCCAAAACAATCGATGGGCCAACTCAGGTTCGCCCACAGCCCATCAGACGATGCCGACATGGCGATCCCCACGCCCATCGACGTTCGGCATCCTACAGGCAAGGATGGTTTAGGGCAGTTTCGGGTCCAGAGTCTACGGGCTTAGGATGAGTTCTCTATTGTTTGGGGTACCCTTATGTAGAGCCCCGCATGCAATTTCGAGAAGCCCCCGCTTAGTTTCACCTTTTTGTTTGGGGGGGGTGGCGGGGCAGCTATGATACAGGGACGTCGCCAGACGGTTCAGGGCTTGGGGCTGACACGTAGCTCACCCGCCCTCGTCTCCAATCCAATGGACGCAGTGGGCAAGGTGTAGCAAGTGGCTGGAACGAGCTGATTGGCTATGGTAACCCAGCATTGCCGACTGAAAGCCTTACAAGCCCTGGAACCCTAAACCCCAAGCCCAAACACTACACCCCAAACGTTGAACTCTAAAAGCCCTAAACCCTACAACCTCAAACCTAAACCCGAAACCCCAACAGGGCCTGGCGACCGGGCCCGCGAGGGCCCACGCCGGCGGAGGGCCGGCGCACCAAGAACCTGGGGTTTCAGGGCTTTTGCAGGTTGAGGGTTTGAGGGTTTGAGGGTTTGAGGGTTTGAGGGTTTGAGGGTTTGAGGGGGTTTGAGGGTTTGAGGGTTTGAGGGGGTTTGAGGGTTTGAGGGTTTGAGGGGGTTTGAGGGGCTTGAGGGGGTTTGAGGGTTTGAGGGGGTTTGAGGGGGTTTGAGGGTTTGAGGGTTTGAGGGGGTTTGAGGGTTTGAGGGTTTGAGGGTTTAAGGTACTTATTTGTCAGAGTCCCTGGAACAGCAAGAGCAGAAGCTCTTCGCTGTGGCCCGGACAAAGCAATCAGCCTGCCATGATGTGACGTTCGTCTCGGGTCTCTTGCCATACAGTACTCTTTGAGCTCATGATGCTCGCCTCCCGCCTCGTCAACTGCACCCAACCACTTGGGGGAGTTGGGCGAAGCAAGCGTCTGGAGCAATAGGGTTTGGAGGGCAGGAAAGGAGCCCCGATGATGCTCATGATGCTCGCCTCCCGCCTTGTCAAATGCCCAACCACTTGGGGGAGTTGGGCGCAGCAAGCGTCTGGAGCATTAGGGTTTGGAGGGCAGGAAAGGAGCCCCGATGATGCTCATGATGCTCGCCTCCCGCCTTGTCAAATGCGCCCAACCACTTGGGGGAGTTGGGCGCAGCAAGCGTCTGGAGCATTAGGGTTTGGAGGGCAGGAAAGGAGCCCCGATGATGCTCATGATGCTCGCCTCCCGCCTCGTCAAATGCGCCCAACCACTTGGGGGAGTTGGCGCAGCAAGCGTCTGGAGCATTAGGGTTTGGAGGGCAGGAAAGGAGCCCCGATGATGCTCATGATGCTCGCCTCCCGCCTTGTCAAATGCGCCCAACCACTTGGGGGAGTTGCGTCTGGAGCATTAGGGTTTGGAGGGCAGGAAAGGAGCCCGATGATGCTCATGATGCTCGCCTCCCGCCTCGTCAAATGCGCCCAACCACTTGGGGGAGTTGGCGCAGCAAGCGTCTGGAGCATTAGGGTTCGGAGGGCAGGAAAGGAGCCCCGATGATGCTCATGATGCTCGCCTCCCGCCTTGTCAACTGCGCCCGACCACTTGGGGGAGTTGGGCGCAGCAAGCGTCTGGAGCATTAGGGTTTGGAGGGCAGGAAAGGAGCCCGATGATGCTCATGATGCTCGCCTCCCGCCTCGTCAAATGCGCCCAACCACTTGGGGGAGTTGGCGCAGCAAGCGTCTGGAGCATTAGGGTTTGGAGGGCAGGAAAGGAGCCCCGATGATGCTCATGATGCTCGCCTCCCGCCTCGTCAAATCCGCCCCACTGCTTGGGGGAGTTGGTGCAGCAAGCGTTTGGATCATTAGGGTTTGGAGGGCAGGAAAGGAGCCCCGATGATGCTCATGATGCTCGCCTCCCCGCCTTGTCAACTGCACCCAACCACTTGGGGGAGTGGGCGCAGCAAGCGTCTGGAGCATTAGGGTTTGGAGGGCAGGAAAGGAGCCCTTTGATGCTCATGATGCTCGCCTCCCGCCTCGTCAAATGCGCCCAACCACTTGGGGGAGTTGGTGCAGCAAGCGTTTGGAGCATTAGGGTTTGGAGGGCAGGAAAGGAGCCCCGATGATGCCCATGATGCTCGCCTCCCCCCTCACCACTTGGGGGAGTTGGCGCAGCAAGCGTCTGGAGCATTAGGGTTTGGAGGGCAGGAAAAGAGCCCCGATGATGCTCATGATGCTCGCCTCCCGCCTCGTCAAATGCGCCCAATCACTTGGGGGAGTTGGCGCAGCAAGCGTCTGGAGCAATAGGGTTTGGAGGGCAGGAAAGGAGCCCCGATGATGCTCATGATGCTCGCCCCCCGCCTCGTCAAATGCGCCCAACCACTTGGGGGAGTTGGCGCAGCAAGCGTCTGGAGCATTAGGGTTTGGAGGGCAGGAAAGGAGCCCCGATGATGCTCATGATGCTCGCCTCCCGCCTTGTCAAATGCGCCCAACCACTTGGGGGAGTTGGCGCAGCAAGCGTCTGGAGCATTGGGGTTTGGAGGGCAGGAAAGGAGCTCCGATGATGCTCATGATGCTCGCCTCCCGCCTCGTCAAATGCGCCCAACCACTTGGGGGAGTTGGTGCAGCAAGCGTCTGGAGCATTATCGTCACATGCGCCCAACCACTTGAGGGAGTTGGTGCAGCAAGCGTCTGGAGAATTAGGGTTTGGAGGGCAGGAAAGGAGCCCCGATGATGCTCATGATGTTCGCCTCCCGCCTCGTCAAATGCGCCCAACCACTTGGGGGAGTTAGCGCAGCAAGCGTCTGGAGCATTAGGGTTTGGAGGGCGGGAAAGGAGCCCCGATGATGCTCATGATGCTCGCCTCGCGCCTCGTCAGATGCGCCCAACCACTTGTGGTGCAGCAAGCGTCTGGAGCATTAGGGTTTGGAGGGCAGGAAAGGAGCCCCGATGATGCTCATAATGCTCGCCTCCCGCCTCGTCAAATGCGCACAACCACTTGGGGGAGTTGGTGCAGCAAGCGTCTGGAGCAGTAGGGTTTGGAGGGCAGCTGGAGCAGTCGGGTTTGGAGGACAGGAAAGGAGCCCGATGATGCTCATGATGCCCGCCTCCCGCCTCGTCAAATGCGTCCGACCACTTGGGCAGTTGGTGCAGCAAGCGTCTGGAGCATGAGGGTTCGGAGGGCAGGAAAGGAGCCCCGATGATGCTCCTGATGCTCGCCTACCACTTGGGGGAGTTGGTGCAGCAAGCGTCTGGAGCATTAGGGTCTGGAGGGCAGGAAAAGAGCCCCGATGATGCTCATGATGCTCGCCTCTCGCCTCGTCAAATCCGCCCCACTGCTTGGGGGAGTTGGTGCAGCAAGCGTTTGGATCATTTGGGCTCGCCTACCACTTGGGGGAGTTGGTGATGATGCTCATGATGCTCGCCTCCCGCCTCGTCAAATGCGCCCAACCACTTGGGGGAGTTGGTGCAGCAAGCGTTTGGAGCATTAGGGCTTGGAGGGCAGGTAAGGAGCCCCGATGATGCTCATGATGCTCGCCTCCCGCGTCGTCAAATGCGCCCAACCACCTGGGGGAGTTGGTGCAGCAAGCGTTTGGAGCATTAGGGTTTGGAGGGCAGGAAAGGAGCCCCGATGATGCTCATGATGCTCGCCTCCCGCCTCGTCAAATGCGCCCAACCACTTGGGGGAGTTGGCGCAGCAAGCGTCTGGAGCATTAGGGTTTGGAGGGCAGGAAAGGAGCCCCGATGATGCTCATGATGCTCGCCTCCCGCCTCGTCAAATGCGCCCAACCACTTGGGGGAGTTGGCGCAGCAAGCGTCTGGAGCATTAGGGTTTGGAGGGCAGGAAAGGAGCCCCGATGATGCTCATGATGCTCGCCTCCCGCCTTGTCACATGCGCCCAACCACTTGGGGGAGTTGGCGCAGCAAGCGTCTGGAGCATTAGGGTCTGGAGGGCAGGAAAGGAGCCCCGATGATGCTCATGATGCTCGCCTCCCGCGTCGTCAAATGCGCCCAACCACTTGGGGGAGTTGGTGCAGCAAGCGTTTGGAGCATTAGGGTTTGGAGGGCAGGAAAGGAGCCCCGATGATGCTCATGATGCTCGCCTCCCTCGTCAAATGCGCCCAACCACTTGGCAGCAAGCGTTTGGAGCATTAGGGTTTGGAGGGCAGGAAAAGAGCCCCGATGATGCTCATGATGCTCGCCTCCCGCCTCGTCAAATGCGCCCAACCACTTGGGGGAGTTGGCGCAGCAAGCGTCTGGAGCAATAGGGTTGGGAGGGCAGGAAAGGAGCCCCGATGATGCTCATGATGCTCGCCCCTCGCCTCGTCAAATGCGCCCAACCACTTGGGGGAGTTGGCGCAGCAAGCATTTGGAGCATTAGGGTTTGGAGGGCAGGAAAGGAGCCCCGATGATGCTCATGATGCTCGCCTCCCGCCTCGTCAAATGCGCCTGGCGCAGCAAGCGTCTGGAGCATTAGGGTTTGGAGGGCAGGAAAGGAGCCTGATGATGTTCATGATGCTCGCCCCCCACCTCGTCAAATGCGCCCAACCACTTGGGGGAGTTGGCGCAGCAAGCGTCTGGAGCATTAGGGTTTGGAGGGCAGGAAAGGAGCCCGATGATGCTCATGATGCTCGCCTCCCGCCTCGTCAAATGCGCCCAACCACTTGGGGGAGTTGGCGCAGCAAGCGTCTGGAGCATTCGGGTTTGGGGGGCAGGAAAGGAGCCCCGATGATGCTCATGATGCTCGTTTTTGCCTCGACCGCAGTGTACCAGCTACGTTGCACGTGCGTTTGACTTCGGGTTCGTGGCCTCTATCAGGTTTTGGCATCTGTCTCAACCACTTGCTTTCCCGGCACATTTCCGTGTTTGTTTGGAAAAGCACGATTTCTTCAGCGAAACCGTTCATTGCTGCAAATCTTCCTTTGCTTAGCCAAACCGAAACCGCCCAACCACTCGGGGGTGCAGCATGCATCTGGAGCATTAGGGCTTTGAGGGCAGGAAAGGAGCCCCGATGATGCTCATCCCGCCTGGTCAAATGCGCCCAACCACTTGGGGGAGTTGGTGCAGCAAGCGTCTGGAGCAGTAGGGTTTGGAGGGTGGGAAAGGAGCGCCGGCCAACCACTTGGGGGAGTTGGTGCAGCAAGCGTCTGGAGCATCAGGGTTTTGGAGGGCAGGAAAGGAGCCCCGCTGATGCTCATGATGCTCGCCTCCCGCCTCGTCAAATGCGCCCAACCACTAGGTTGAGTTGGTGCAGCAAGCGTCTCGAGCATCATCGTCACATGCGCCCGACCACTTGGGGTAGTTGGCGCAGCAAGCGTCTGGAGCAAATAGGGTTTGGAGGGCAGGAAAGGAGCCCCGATGATGCTCATGATGCTCGCCTCCAGCGTCGTCAAATGCGCCCAACCACTTGGGGGAGTTGGTGCATCAAGCGTCTGGAGCATTTGGGTTGGAGGGCAGGGAAGGAGCCCCGATGATGCTCATGATGCTCGCCTCCCGCCTCGTCAAATGCGCCCAAC